CCATGGCGTCCAACATGGACCGGGAGATGATCCTGGCGGATTTTCAGGTGAAGTGTCTGGCTCTGCTCCCTTCCCACCTCCAACTTGGCGGCATCCGGGTGGCCGCGCGGTGGCCTCTTCCCAGCGTTTGTTTGAGCACCGCCGTGGTTGTGGTTGTAGTGTGGGCTTTTCTACCCTACGTGGCTCAGGGTGTGTGTATATTGTGAACCGTGGGGGAACATGTCTTTCATGTGCTGTGTTGTGTGTGTGTGTAGAACGTGTTAAATGAGGTTGAATGAGAATTTTAGGTTTGGGGATGTTATGATCTGGGGATTACTAGGTATGTGGGCTCTTTCTTAGTTTTATGAGGAATGTGTAGAATATGGGGTTAATTATGGGGTGTTTGGGTTGTTCCATGAAGAAATTGATGTGTGTGTGGAGAGAGTGTTGCTATGGGTGTGGTGTATTGTATGAAGTGGAGAGTGAAAAGGCAGAATGATGAGGAGGTGATGATGCTAGCTGGGCTTTGTGGTCCTTTTCAAAGAGGGCTAAACAGTTGAGACTCCGAAGGCCTTATTGGAATCCTTGGAGGATGGAAAATAAGGAGGCTGCCATGCAGTATGTTCTGATGTATCTTTGCAGCAAATTCACAGACTTAATAACCCGTTCCTATTTGCAGATTCCCCTCCCCTACAGACTTGAATTGTTTTGTGTCCTTTCCTCAGGAGTTAATTTAAACTAAAGTTAATTTAAAGTGAACCCTTCTATAGTGTCACTGGCATGTAAGTATCTTAGGGAGGCCTTTGAAAGCAGAGCTATGTGTGTTTGGAAAGATTTGTAGTTATAAACAATACCATGTAAAGGTTCTCTTTGACTTCTGAAATTTACTGAAGAAAATATTTTAGTGCCATACACACAGCATTTGGCGTTACATTTGTCAAATATAGGTAAACTTTTTCTCCAACACTGGCATTACTTCACAGTTTCTATAGACATTGCTTATCTATTTAATGTTCTGATGGCCATTTTCCAAGAATTTGCTCTTTTTTCTTCTCTTGTATCTATCTAGTACACTAGGGATGCTTATATGTACATTTGACTAAACTACAACCTGGAAATTCAGAAAGGATGGTTTTAAAAAGAAAAGTTGGTCATGGTATTTTGGTGTTTGTAGGCTTCAGAATAGCCTGAGGTCTTTTATCTTTCTTAGACAGTGTTTCCCTTTGTAGCCCAGGCAGGCATCTAATTTAATACAAACTTCCTACCTCAGCTTCCCGAAGTACAGTGATTAAAATTGTGATCCACTATGTCTACTTCTTAGGTGTAGTTTTACCCAGTTTGTGTTTTGATGGGAAAGGTTCTGAACAGCAAGCAACACATAGTGTAATTCATATGATTATAGCTTTGTTTTAGTTTTATAAACCTTTTAAAACCTATAATAACTTGTAGCCACTTTGTCTTCTGTCAGTCACTATGCTTATTGATTTTCTTTTGAGGCAGAGTTTCACTATCTATCTATCTATCTATCTATCCATCCATCCATCCATCCATCCATCCATCCATCCATCCCGGGCGAGACTTGATTGATTCTCCAGTGTTGGGATTATAGGAATGTATGCTACCACACCTGGCTCTTTGTTAGCTAAATGATTAGAAATTTAGGGTGCTTGTTCTCAGAGGCAGAGTAATATTTATGAGGCATCAGACTTTGGTTTGGAAATCAAAGTATTTTGATCACATTCTTAAATTTTAATAACATTTTCTTTCCCAGACTTTTTTTTTCACTTTTGAAAAATGTTTTTTTTCAGCAGCTAGGGATTGTATCCAGGGCCTTGTACATGCTAGGCAAGAGCTCTACCACTGGTTCTGTATTTCTGACCAAAGATTTCTCTTATAAGAATGGTATTGTTGGGGGAACAGGAGAAGGGGAGGGAGGGGGAACTGGGGTTGGGATCTTAATCATCTGTCTCTTGTGCAAAATGTCATACTGGTTCACTATATTGATGACATGTTGATTGGATAAAGTGAGCAGTAGGTAACAACTGCTTTGAATTTGTTGATAACACCTATTTGCATCAGAGAATGGAAAAATAAATCCAACCAAAATTCAAGGGCCTCAGTGAAAATTCTAGGAGTCCAAGGGTGTGGAGTAAGCAGAGATATTCCTTCAAAGATGAAGAGTAAGTTATTGCATCTGGACTTGCCCACCCCAAGAAAGAAATACAATGTTAGTGGGCCTATTTGGGTTCTGGAGACAGCACATTCTTGACTTGGGTGTGTTTCTCCCCTATGTGTTAAGTTACTCGGGAAAGCAGCTAGCTTTTTGTGGGGCCTGGATCAGGAGAAGGCTTTTCAACAGGTCCAGGGTGCTGTGGAGGGTGCCCTACCACTTGGACCACATGAACCAGCAGACATGATGGTATTTGAGGTGTCACTGGCAGATAGGTATGCTATTCAGTGTCTTTCACAGTCCCCTATAGGTGAATAAAAAAAGGAGACCCCTGGGATATTGGAGCAATGTCCTACCATCATTTGTTGACAACAGTTTTCCCTTTGAGGGACAGCTTGGCCTGCTATTGTGCTTTAGTGGCTGAATGTTTGACAGTAGCTCACCAAGTTACTATGTAAACTGAACTGCCTATCATGAGTTGGGTATTATCTGACCCACCAAGCCATAAAATGCACAGCAGAAATCCATTGTCAAATGGAAGTGGTATATACATGATCAGGTCTGAGCAGGTCCTGAAGGCACAAACAAGTTACATGAAGAAGTTGCCCAAATATCTATGGTTTCTGCTGTTACAGTGCATTCTTCCAAACGTAGATCTGTAGCCTCATAGGGTGTGTCCTAAGATTGGTTGACTGAGGAAGACAGGACCTGGTTTACTGATGGTTCTGCATGTTCTGCAGGCACCACTTGCTGCAGCATTAAAACTGTTTTCTGGGACAACCCTGAAAGACACTGTTCTATTGGGTAGAACTTCAGCAGTACATTTTTCTTGAAAGGAGAAATGATCAGATGTATGATTGTTTACTGACTGATTGATGGGTTATATAAGCCAGTGGGTTCGCTGAATGGTCAGGGACTTGGAAAGAGCATGATTGGTAAATTGTTGAGAAAGACATCTGGGGAAGAATTTATGCTTAGATTCTGGACAATGGATGCGAAGATACTTGTATCCCATGGACATGCTCATCAACAGGTGACCTCTGCAGGGAAGGAATTCAATAATCAAAGAGATAGGATGACCCATTCTGTGTACAGTGAGCCTCTTTTCATGGCCTTTCTTGTTATTGTCCAATGCTCCCATGAACAAAGTGGCCCATCCTGGAATTATTTTCTCATAAAGTTTGCCCATAAGAGAAATGGTCCCCTTTAAAAGAAAATCATTGCTACTGCCTTCAATAAAATCAGTACTTTTCTTTGTATGTTTTAGTAACTTTACAATATAAAATATTTGAATGTTTCTCAGGTAGTAATATGTGGTTATACCTCTATTGAGTATAGTTGTCAGAGGGTGCACTTAGGTAGATCAGCTGGAGCTGAGCAAGACAGTTAACCTTTCATGGAGATCTGTCTAGACTCCTATCTTGGTTAAAAGTAGACCATGTGCTGGACTCCATTTCCTTTTGGAACATTTCTGTTTATCTGTTCTTTAAGAACTGGCCTTGGTGGTGCAGGCCTTTAATCCCAGCACTCAGGAGGCAGAGGCAGGCAGATCTCTGTGAGTTCGAGGCCAGCCTGGTCTGCAGAGTGAGTTCCAGCACAGGCTCCAAAACAATACAGATAAACCCTGTCTCGAGCCCCCCCCCCCCCCCAAAAAAAAAGGGAACCCATGTATATAACATTCACAGACTGTACATCTAGTGAGGCCTAGTAATTCTGTGTCTTGCTCATGTTTCTCTTAGTCTTTTTAAATGGTTAATGGTAAGTTTACATATTTACACCATACTGTCAGTTCTTTGGGGGATCAACTGCTTAGTTCCTAACTGTTACTACAGAAACTAGTAAGAGATTTAGTGAATATTTATTAGACTAAGACTGCTATGAAAAATAGGGTTGAAGTTAAATTTTGTGGGTGTCTTTGTCTCTGTGTGTGCAGGTGTGCGTCCTGCCATATACATATAGGTGTGTGGGCATGTGTGCCTGTGCAGGATAACCTCAGATGTTGTCTCTCAGGTGCTGTCCACCCTTTTACTTATTTACTTCTGGTGACAAGTTTACTCGCTGACTTGGAATTGGTCAAGTTGTTAGGCTGGCTGGCCAGTGAGCCCCAAGAACCTGCCTGTCTTCTCTCCAATGTGTGTGGCATCATGCATTTTTTTTTTTTTTTTGGATCTGGGGATTAAACTATGGTGATGATGATGATGATGATGATGATGATTTTGGATTTTCGAGACAGGAGTTTCTCTGTGGCTTTGAAGGTGGTCCTGGAACTAGCTCTTGTAGACCAGGCTGGTCTTGAACTCAGAGAGATCCGCCTGCCTCTGCCTCTGCCTCTGAGTGGTGGGATTAAAGGCGTGCGCCACCACTGCCTGGCTTTGAACTCAGATTATTGCCTCATTTAGATTTATCAATTTTATTTTATGTGTATATGTGTCTTACCTGTATGTATGTATGTGCACCATGTGTGGAGGCCAGAAAAGGCAAAGGAACTCCTGTAACTGGAGTTACAGATAAGGTTATGAGCCACCATTTAGGTAGTGGGAATTGAACTGGATTCTTAGCATGAGCAAAAAGTGCTCTAAACTGCTGAGCCAGCTCTAAAACCCAAGCCCCATATTTTGGTATATTTCAAGGATCAACTATTCGTTGACATTTTAAATAATAAAATTTTAAAATGTAAAAATTGATCATAATTGAATATTAAATTAAAGGTTATAACTTCACAGTGACTCATACATAGAAGTACCAAAAATGACTCATCTTTGGTTTAGCTTAATTTTCCCCCTATTTTGTCACCTTTGATTTAGCTTAATTTTCTCCCCATTTTTAAAATCTGTCTATCCATCCATCATCTGTCTATTTTTGTGTGAGTGTGTATGAGCCTACACATGCCATAGCCAT